GTTTCAAAGACTTCCAGGTTTTCAGCATTCTTACCGCGAGGAAGTTAAATAGTAAACTAAAGCATCCCTCCAGAGCTCCTGTGTCTCATTTTTGTTTTTAACCATAACATGAGGCAATTTAACCATAAAAAAACAGAAAATATGCAATGAAGCCTTTATCAGCATGGATATCTTATAGTCAGTCTTCTGAGCCAAAATTGAGTATCGGTTAATAAAACCCACTATTTCTACACTCCCACAGCCCAAAGAAGCTTCTGAAGTCAACTTCTACATGATTAGAGGGAAAATTTTGACTCTAGGATATTAAAAAGGGACAGGTCAGAGTAACATTATCTAAAAATAGTTTTGGTACCTGTATCCACTCGTGAAAGAGTTTGCTGCATGATTGCCTTTAAACCTGATGTCAGACTTGGATTTTCTCAACATATGCTTCATACTGAGGGTTTAAACGTAGCTCAGGGTCTTATAGAAAGCTCTTTAAAAAAAAAAAAAATTTAAATATGCACCTTTCAGTGTTAATCTGCATTTAGGTTATTATGAAATTTCTGGCTGGAAGTGTGCTGCAGTAAAAGTAAGTATAAAGGGGTGAATCAGCCGAGTGGGCCGCGCCCGCACTTACTCAAATGATTTCCTCCCTGAGCTGCGAGTTCCTCTTAGAGGAGAAACTTTAGCACTTAGTGTGTGCAGAGCCTACACTTAGACCTCCTGCAGTCCTCCGCAGGTCCGGGTGCCTCAAGATTTCATCTCAGGGCTGCTGCTCACTCTTTGTTTTCTATTCTTAATGTTATTCTCACAAGCTGATTATTATTATTATTATTATTATAATTATTGTAATATTTATGTGCTGGACTTCTATTTTTTATGTAAATAATGCGCTCACGTGTCTTATAAGCAGAGATTCAGGTGATGATGAAAGGAAGGATTAGTCATTGAGGTGGTTCAGGAAAGTGAAGTCAATGTGGGGAAACAGAGAGGTGTCAGATGGTTTTTAGAGAGGAAAGAGGTGATTAAACAGGAAGAGTGAGTGTGGGAAGAAGTATTTCCTGATGGTTGCTTTAAGTTGTGGAGAGGTGATGAGAAAGTAGGGATGACTATTTCACAGAGGAGCCGAGGTGCCACCAGCAACAAATCCTGACCTCAGACAGTGGCAGCTCTCAACCTCCAGAGAAAACATTCCTCTGGTTTTATTTTTAGGTGCCAAACCCGAACGGGACCACACTGCGTGTGTTTGTTGTTGCTGTCAGCACAAAGGCCTTTGTATCTGTGTGTGTGGGTGAGGAGGCTGGGCCGTGCTGTCGTCCTTTATAACTGGAACGCCACACTGTAAAAGAGCAGACTGCTGTAAACGGAAATAAGCTTGAATCCATCTGCTCTGAGAATAAAAGGTTTGGAGTTGGTTGAATCTGCAGAACAGGTGGGTCTGACGTCACTTTGGTGCCGACGCTCCATTGGACCATTGTCTCCGTCAGACTCTTGCTGTAACAGTCGTGTTGTTTTTGTACAGCTGCTGTTGTTCTCGCGTCACTCGGCGGCCTCTGAGTGTGCGAGCGCTCTTTGTGTCAGTGCCGCTGATGTCACTCAGCGTTCCTCTTTGTTGTCTTGAGACTGAAGGATTACTGTATGTCAGAATGAAACCTGCCACAAGCACAAATAAATCAGATCTACCTTTATTCTGCTTTTTATGTTTTGGGTTTTTTAAAGTATGAGCGTTCTGATTGCATCTGAAATAACTAAAAAATAATTTGTATTCTGATTAGCTTCAGGCTAATGTTAGGCATCACAAAGCAAACTGGAAAAGCTCATTAAAGACTAGAAAATAAATGGTGTCTGTGCTTTGATGTTTTTCCAGCTCCACGCTGCCCCCTGTTGGCCCTGCAGAGCTGGGCCAACACTGGGTCATACTGTGTCAGTGTGTACCAGTGAGCAGGCACAGACTGGAAACCAGTAGCTCAGTAACTCTCAGCAGTGTTTCCCAACCTTTTGGAGCCACAGTACATATTTCACATTAGAAAAAATCACACCGCACACCAACAAACAAATGTCACAAAAAGCATGTTGATAATTTTTCCCCGCCCACCAGGTATAGCGGAATTGGCTCAGTTTGTCCCCAGTATACCTTTTTTGCTTTCTTCTGACCACTAGTCATGCTAGGGCCTTCATCTGGGTCAGAACTTTCTCCAGGACTCATCTCAGATTGACTTTTTCCTTTTCAAATATTTATCTATTGCTATTTTGCACTGCACAGTCTTACAGCGTGACTAATTTCTCCTTCTGTTTTACTAGGAATTGTCAACCCATTTAATCAGAGCAGGTACTAGTTTTCTTTTGTTGTATTTATCCGTGACGCCTTAAAGGCCGATCCGTGAAAATATTGTGGGCATAAACCGGTCCGTGGCGCAAAAAAGGTTTGGGACCGCTGACTTAGAATACTAATCGGGTAGAACCAGATAATCGTCCACAGCACACCGGTTGGGAAACACTGCTCTAAAGGGGTCCTGATATGTTATGTTTTTACATATTTTTGTCAAACACGCACGCACGCACCCCAACAACAGTGGATGCTGATTAAAAATGTTTCAAACACTTCATATTAACCTTTTAATATACATCATTATCTTTATAGGGTTTTTATGTCACCCATGTGTGTGTGAATGGGTGGATGATAGGTTGTGTAAAGCGCTTTGGGGTCCTTAGGGGCTAGAAAAGCGCTATACAAATACAGGCTATTTACCCACCATCAGTGTGAATGGTAGGAATTGGGCTACAAAGACTAATAAAGGCTCATATATGGAAGCTGATATCATGACCACTGCACCATGGAGCTAAACACTGGAGGACCAAATGTGAGCTGCTGTGCTCTTAGCACCAGTCCCAAGCCTTGTTAAATATAATGGATCAGCTCAAAGTACCTTAAGAGCTTCTTTCAGTTCAAAGGTCACCACAGCGGGACAATCGGCATATCTGAGTTGGCACTAGCAGAGGCTGATCCTACATAGTCTTCCTCAATCAACCCTCCCAGGGATATTTGTTGGGTACATGTAACAACTATATAAAAACTGATGACCTTTGTTCCATGTTAGAAGAATTGTTTCAGCTTTGCATTTTAATATTTACATACTTCATTGATTTACTTCAAGAACTCCCACTCAGTGGACGTCTAATGAGATAGTCCAGACAGTAAGTTTCTTTGACTGTTACAGCCACTAACATTTTGAGAGCATGTGACATAAATAAGGATTATTTTAACTGACTCATACAGCAGTACAGAGTCTAAGAACAAAACCAATCAGAGCTGAGCTGAATAAATCTCCTTTAAAAGGTCAAATCCACTCCTTAGTTTGTTTTGTTTTTAAAAACAAACAAACAAACAAACAAAAAAAAAAAACAGCACAACATACAGCGAGTAGTAAACAATGGAATGCATCTGAAGTTACATTCAGCAGAACGACTCGCAGCCATCAGCAAAGTGCAAAGATGCTATTTAAGCTCATACAGAGATCATACAGATGGATGTACAGTGCATGCTGCCCTGCCAGCTACCAGAAGTCCTACAGGAATAATCCACTTCATTAATTGGACACAGCAAGCAAGTTTACAGATTTTTTTTGTCCTTCTCCCCACCCAGTGTCATAAAAACACATCACATCTGCCACCATGAGATACATTCAGGTCCAAAAGTATCTGGACAGGGGGTCCATAGATGGTTTTGGAGATATTAGCTGTAAAGATGTCCACCTTCACCTAGAACTAGATGGCACTCGCCTTCTAGTGTTTGAAACAACCAACAGCAACATCTGTTTCCACTAATTAGACTCATCCAGTTTCTACCAGTTCTTTGGGTCTAAGTCACAGGAGCAGTGACCTAAACGAAGACGCCAAGGCCACACATCCTCGCTGTACCACCCAAGCCAGCAGACATGATCTATCCAAGCAGTCGTGGGCCTCAAAGTTATCCAGGACATCCACTACACCTCAACCAATGCCTTTAAATGTGGGAAAGCAGCTGCTCTACTCAGACACCCCCAAAAGCCCAAAGCCTTCAGAGGAAGCTCATTTCCACCTCTGGTGTCCTGGACGCCTTTCAGTCAGCATCCACAGCTTGTGGATGTAGGTGTAGATCATCAGCTCGCTCTTCACAAAAAAACAGATCGGTACAGCATCCACAGCACCAAACCCCACAGCCTCTGTTTTGATATTCTATTCATGAAAGCTGTAAACAGAATCAGCGTCAAAGGTCAACCCTGAGGGAGTCTGGCTTATTGATGGAGAAGTGAACCAAGCTCTCGCTGCAGCTGCAGGCTCCAAAGTGCTTTTAACAGCGTGCCTGATATCCCGAAATCCAGGAACACCCCCTACAGGTCACCCCAGCCAAACCATCCCAAAGTCCACAAAACACATGTAGACTGGTGTGGAGAACTCCCACACACCCTCTCTGAAAGGAGAAGTCACGACCCACCTACTCAAAGATCCAAAAATATGATGGGTGATTTATAGAGTTCCATAATATTTAAAAGAAGACAGACATCTGTACAGCTCACCCCAAAGCAATTCAGGCCAGAAGAGAAGCACCCAACTGTCATCTACAGATTAATCACATGGTGTGATTCAGATTTAATCAAAGCAAAAAACTAAAACTGCCCCACTGCCCAAATACTAAAGCACCTGAGTGTTCCTTGTTATTATTGCATTTTACTGAAAACAAAAAACAAATCTGTGCAGATGGACTTTTTTTTTTCCTCCAGGAAAACATAAAATCTGATATTTTAAAAACATTTACAGTAAAATATGAAAGTTTTTGGTTGTTGTTATAGTTGTACCGTTTAAAAGTTGATTTCCAAACGTGATGACAGAGCTGACCTATGAGCCCCATGGTCTTCATCAGCAGAACATCCTGTGCTGATGAAGACCATGTGAAATGTGACGGCTCCAGAATACGTAGTGAACACACCTTGAAGTGACTGTGTGTCAGAATAAAACGTACTGCAGCGATTTAAGAGGAGACGCTGCAGGCACCTTTTTTTTTTTTTTTAAGCAGTCTGCAATTTACACACATAACTCGTTATGAGATAATTAATCTTAATTAAGATTTTTTTAAAGTCTGGTTTTGGAACTTCAATGGCTTCAAAAAGTGAACAGTTCTGTTAGCCTGCAGTGTCTTATCTTAAAAATATAAATCTAAACTGCTTTTTTGTCCTTTTTCTGACTCGTCATTGATGGAAATCCACCATCAGCATCAAACTGAAGGAATGAACTCAAACACTTTAAGTGTCTGCTTGTTATTTCATTACAGTTAAAACACAATCAGCAGATATTCCTGCTGATGACGTCCACCCGGAGAGCGGATTCTCAAACATTCATGTGTCTAAAATGAGCTCAATGCTAGTGCAGGTATAGAAAGAATGTAAGAAGCTTTTCTGCTGCAGCTAAACACGCAAACAAGTTGAGTTAGAGAAACTAACCGGATATTAACCAGCAGCTCGGCAGCAACATAAAGTCTGAGCAAATGGAAAAACTTTCATTTAGCCTGAAGGACTTTCAGAGGAAGACAGTGGAGAACAGAGGAAAGCTCATCCCACCTCAGGGTTAGCGCGTTTAACAAACCAGCATCCGACTCATCTGAGCCCTTAAATCTGAAGGTTTGAGGTAAGACCAGCAATAAGACACAAAGATCACATAAAGCGCTCAAAACTCCTGGATGACCCTGAAGTGGTTCTCGATGGAGGGCGGGTCATCCTTGAAGTGCAGCTTCTTGCTTGGACACGCCCCGAACTCCTCCAGAGTTTTGATGAAGTGTCCGTGCTCGCGGCCCACCCAGGCCCGCATCGGGTCGCACACCTCGTAAGGGGTCACGTGGGCATGGATCGACACGCCGCTGCCAGCCAGCTCCTTCAGGACCTGCTTGTCTGTCACCCAGGTCTCACTGCCCCCCGGGTGGCCACCATCCAGCCAGAACATGTCAGAGATGTGCTTGACGAAGGGTGACATCTGCGGATCAGCACGGGCCCCGGGCAGCTCGTACACCATCTGGTTCAGGACCACGCAGCCTTTGCTGAAGCCCACCAGGGTCAAGGAGAAGCCTGAGGGGATGCTGTCAGCGCCGCCCTGTGGTTGGAGCGGGTCTGGCAGGCTGGCTCGCTCCATGCCGTGGCTCAGCAGGGCCCTGTGGTCAGAAACGCTGCTCAGACTCAGAGAAAAGATCCAAAATCATCTCAAAGAATTACAGCAACATTTTCCTGTCCTTCACACCTTTAGACCTGGTCATGTTTTCCAAAAACATAAAATTTGGAAAACTGGGAAAAGACACGGGAAACGCTTTCACCATTAAATTGCCCTTTTCTGTGTCATCATCTGTGAGCTAGATGATTTAGCTTGCAGGTGACTTTTTAAGCCTCTACACCTTTCTTAATTTATTCTTAACTGATATACAGGCTGGATAAAATTTAGCCAAAGTAATCAAGTTAAATAATATCTCAACAAGACAAAATGAGCTCCAGTGACAAACCTGAGGTGGTGAAACGCTCCAGAGTCAGCAGAGTATGGAGAGTGCTCCGGAGCCCCAAACATGTTGCTCTCCACAAAGTTCTGGTAGCAGCTGAACTTATGCAGGTACATGCGCGAGGCTCTCACCACCCACACGTGTCTATCAGGGAAACGGCAGCCCAGAGTGAAGGCAACCCTCTCCAGGCTCCAGGAGAGCCACTGGGCACCCTCAGGCTGCAGCGCCATCTCCTCCTGGAAGTTCTGCACAGAGAGAAATGAGAAGTTTTACAACTGCTTTTTGCAACATAGAGGTCCTACATGATCTCAGAACAAGAGCAGCACAGCTGAGTCCTGTCCTTTTTCCTGACCATTTTCAGGGGAATAAAGCCTGAAGCCGCATCAGAAATGTCTCAGTGTAAGAAAAGGCTAAAGTATGCCAAACTACACAAGAACTGGACTGAAAATGAGTGGCAACAGGTCTGATGGAGTGATAAGTCCTAATATTTGGTTCAAATCATCATCAGTGTGTACAGAGGAGATCAGGAGAGAGTTAGCATCTATCTGTAAAAGAAAGTGGAGGCTCTGTCATGGTTTAATTTCAGCCAGTGGTGTTGGAAATCTCGGCAAAAGTGAACTGTCAGATTTTGATGCTCCATGAAATACCATGGGGAAAAGGTCTGATTGGCAACAGCTTCATTTTTCAGCATGACAATGATCCAAAACGCACTGCAGAGGCAGTAAAATCATACCTGGACAGAATCACACACAATGGAGCACTATCAGCCATGGACTGGCCTCCCCGCATTTTTATTTGGTTTATTGAAAGAAATCATTGACTGATTCCAACATTAAACACACAGGAGGTGGCACAGAGCTGCCTCAGTAATCGTATTCAGGGATTAATTTCGCCATGGCAGCCATGTCCACCCGAGACCTTCTCCATCACTCTCACCTGAATATCCCCGTGGAAAAACACCACGTGCCGGTTGTTGCTCTTTTCCTGCTCCTCCGGGTCAGGCCGCAGGAGCAGCAGGTCGTTCACTCGGTTGGGGAGGTTCCCGGGCACCGCGGGCAGCCTCTGCAGCTTCTGCAGCGGGGTTCCCGACAGTGCATCCCGGCTTGCCGAGGCGTGGAGCCCCCGGAGCTCGGAGGGTGACGTCGTCATCGCTTTGGCCGCAGTTATTAAAGTCAGGTCCAGTACTGCTGCTCGTTCGGCTAGCATGGACTCTAAAATAAGAAAATGAGCTGGCGTTTTTCCTCATCTGCGCACTCGCTCCATGCTGCTGTCAGTTAGCATCACATTATCAGCGGGTAGCGCCAAACCGGGCCACACAGCCTTATTATACGCAAACAATTACAACTACACGGCGTCTACAACCGCTGTCCGCCTCACATTACGACACCTGCGGAATAAACTTCCAAGATTTACTTCACTGTCACAGTTTTAGAGTCTCCTTTTGTCCACAAAGAGGCGCTGTTTAACAAAAACAAACCCACCGAAATAACAAACGACTGCAGTGACAGGAAACGTACGCGCTACTGCGCATGTGTTGCGTTTTCTCGTCGGTAGGAATCGGATGAGTCCCTCCTTTGTATTTCCGTTTTCGTCCGCGCGGTCTAACGACGCCAAGGGAAGAACAAAGCAATCGTATAAAACACCACGTTTGTGGTGAGAAACGTGAACTGTCATCGATGTGAACCGAGGATATTTATGGATATAAAATAAATAAAATTGACACTTATTAAACCACTAATTAATTTTTTTCCCGAATGTTTTCATAATTTTATGGAATTTGTATTATTTTCCAAAAATAATAAGTAGGTAACAGCATGTCCAGGAAAAAATATTTACACCCCAGACCTTTTTTATTTTTAAAAAAATACATACGAGGACCGCACATACATAAACACATCTCAAAATGTCTATGGTTGGGATCGGGGTGGAACCATCTTGTGCTGAGACTTCCAAAGTTTAGCTGAACACATAAAATGAACGTGTTTACCTTTCCGTGGATCTTGATGTGGGTGGGTTCGCAGCGGCTGCGCTGAAGCGAGTGCAAAGTGAGTGTTTTCCCGCAGAAATAGTTTATATTGCCCCTTTTTCCTTATAAACGCTGCACATACTTCAAGTGTGCCACTGACATGTTTGGTTCCGCCTGCATAACACAGCAAAATAGTTTACACCAGGCTGGACTTTGTACATGTTCTACAGCTGTGCAAACAGCTGTGCAGACACAATGGGTAAACCATTGCACCACCACTCGGCTTAATAATTACTATAAGCTACACTGAATAATTATATGACTGATAATTAACCATTTAAACTAATCTATCAAGGTCATTCTGCACATAAGAAGAGTTCCATTCATCTGCTGGAAGGTAACTTCAGCTTTTAAACACACTATGCAGCAGCTTATATTTATTGGAGAACTTTTCATAGCCCATGTACTTATTCTGTTGCTGCTTGAGTATCCATGTTACACTTAGAATTGCATTAAAAATCAAAAGTATTATTTCACTGCTTCATTTTTTGATGGGATGAAGATGCAGCTCTATGAACTGTACCATTTATCATGAAACAGTTGAAATAAAAACAGTATTTCCTGAACTTCTCAAAGGAATGAGCTCAAAGAAGTGGGTGCAACAGCAAAAACATGGGGAAAATGTCACCTGGCTGGTACTTTGATACATGCTGGGATAATTACAAATTTTAAAATGTAAATAATGCAGCCATTTTTAGCTCGTACCAATTGTACCAGTTGTCAAGCACAGTGGTGGAGGGTTGGCCTGAGTTGACCATGAGCTCTTCGGCATACCAAAGTATTGTAGAGTGAAATGTGAGGCCATCTGTCTGACAGATAGAGTTGGTCATCTGAAACTGGTAAATAATGTTAAGGATTTTTAAAATGTTGTCATATATGAACCCTTGGAATTGAAAGAATATGGACTTTCTTTTTCCCATGATTGCATTTTATTGGTTACACATTCAAATTTTCATCTAATGAGTGGCTGCATTTCTACTTTCCCAGTTCTGCATACCTGATAAAGCATGGCCTCGAGCTCTTTGGGCAGGAGACTGGTGGCGTGTCTCCTCAATGTTTCTGAAGCTCGCAGGAAGGATCTGGTAGAGACGGTGGCCAAAGCAGCGTTGTACAATACTGAAGGTGAGTTCAAGGTACCAGCGGGAAAAAAAGTTTGGATTTCAACACGAGCTAACTGCTGGTAAACTATTTACAGCCTCAGTTTGAAGGGCAAGCCACTACATATACCCAACTCTTAGCTGTAAAATCACTGCCTGTACGCAGTTATGTCATCCATGATGGCGCCAGATGATAATCAGATAACCACCCTACTCTAAGCACTAAATTTGCCCTTTACCTGTAAAATATAACCTGTTATTAGACATTTATTCACATGTATTGTCTTTATTGTGCTTCAGGTGTGAGGCGTGAGGGGACCACGGTGTTAAACATCTTTAATGATTATGACTACAACCGCTCTGTCATCACTATTGTGTCCAGCATCGACTCGATCAGTAAGTCCTCTTTGTATTTGTGCTTCTAACATGTTCCATATTCACTCTCTTGCTCCTGAGAGATGGATGAATGGGTTCAGCTCCAGCTTCCAATCCTTTAATAAGCTTTGTGAGGGATTTAAAGACACATAAAAAAAAACCCCAGTAAGAACCTTTTTCTAACAAGGATCACAGAGAAAAAAATAATTTCTACGAATCCTTGTTCGAAACACGACAGTCTTAAAAGTGAAAGCAGTCAAAGTTTGCAGCTTTTATTTGGTGGTGTTTTTTAATGTTTTCCAGGGGAGGCGATCCTGTGTGCATGCGAGAAGGCGTGCGGGTTGATTGACATGCAAACTCATACAGGAGTCCATCCATGCATGGGCGCTGTTGACCTCATACCCATCTACCCACTGGGGGAGGAGATGAGGGCAGAGGACTGTACTAAAGAGGCGCTCGGTATGTGTTTCACAGTGTTCCTGAGAGTTAATGTACCCCTGAAACACTGTACCCTCCTTAAATACCCCGTCATCAAATGAAGTGTTCATTCAAACTAATTATTGTTTAACTAACCTTCTGAGTTTCTCCATTAATTCACCTAAAAATTTCCACTACTACTCATACTTTTAGCTAATAATTCCTGTGTTTATTAACCCTTTAATATTCAACTGCTAACCCTACTTTCATTCATAGTTTTTGTTTTGCTATTTCAATTAATCGATACTTTTATGTTTTTAATTGCTATCCATACTTGTAGTAAGCTTGTAGTTTCAAATATTTATCTGTTTAGCTAACATCATTTAATTATGTTTTTAGCTAATCATTTCAACTTTTAGCTAGATATCCTTTAGCTAAGTATTTAAAACTTTTCATTTATAATTTTTACCCATTTAAAATATTTGTCTGTCATGTTAAGCTAACAATTTTATTTGTTAGTATACATTTTAAGATGACATTTTCAACTGTTAGCCCTTTAACCGAATTATTATTTAGCTATTTCAAAAGTTAATAGTTGGATATTTCCCCCCTTCGTTATAATTTTAAAAAGCAATTCTAATTATTTACTGACAGCACATTTTTGGCTAATGATTTTAACTGCTAGCCTTGCTTTTTTAGCTAGTGGTTTAGCTAAAAAAAGGTTTCCATACTGTTAGCCAGGTGAGTTATTTCAACAGTTATGCATTATATTTGTTTAAAATTTGAATTTGTTTATTATATGAAAACTTCTCAAAGGTTTAGTTGTTATTTTATAAATTCAAGCCTTCTCCCTTTCTTTCCAGTCATTATTTAACTATTTATTTATCTACCTATTTAAATCATTTATATATTTGAATTACCCTGTTGCTACCGCTGCTAACTTTTCCAGTAAAATATTTTAAGATCTACTTGTTATTGCATTTTTTTTTAGATTAGTTGAACACAACTTCCCACATAACCCTAAAATCCTATCTAACATGTACCCCTGGCTGGGAATCACAGCTATATTTTAAATCCTCACTGGCTGTCAGTGCTCGTAATTTATTTTTAGTTCTTTAGACAAATATCACATGTGACTTAAAATAAATTCTCAATGTGTGTTCACAGACATATTCAGCAGGGTGTATGTAGTTTTTATTATTCCTCAGTACATTTTCGGTCATGAGCTCATCCACTGTGTCTCTACAAGCATGTCTCACCTGCATGTAGCTGATAATGTGACGTCTTTTCTATTTTCTTGGGCTGTTGATTACTTTCACAGTTTACCAGCTGACTTCGCAGCCATGTGTCTATCTGATAATGAGCAATAACTCAACACTTTGCCCTCATGCCTGCAGACTGCACTCTGTATGCTAATCTGTGTGGTGTGATTGAAAAATGGTAATTGGCCAACCCACTAACAAGCACTGTATTCATGCATGCATGTAATAAGCAGCCCATGTGTCCGTATTTTCCATCCGTCTGAATTACATTCCCGCGGGTGTGTTTTGGTCCGTCACAGTCTTTGCACCTTTGCGTTTCTGAATTTGTGTGCACGTGATGACGTGCACTCCGTATGCCAGTCAGCTGAAATGTGTCTGTGCTCTTGCTTGGGCTCAGCTGTGGCTCAGGGACTTACAGAGAGGGTCCAGGGCACCAGTGCCTTCCTGTTTGGCTGGGCAGACTTCCCCTTACAGCGAGGGCTGGCGCACAGGAGGAAGGAGATGGGCTGGTTCAAGAAGACGCCAGACCTGCGGGCGATCAGGGCCGACGTGGGGCCGCAGCCACAGAAACGATTCGGCCTCACAGGTGAGCCAGAGGTAGCAGGTAATGAAGGTTAGAGTGTCTCTTTGGTGTGATTACACAACACAGGTGACTTTATCTTTGTTTGTTTGTTAGTCTGACCACAGGCTGTCTCCCTTCTCTATTCTGACCTTTGAAAGGAAAAATCTGAAAAGTTCACACAGCTAAAAAAAATAACATTGACGTGTTACCAGATTTAAAAAAAGTCAGGCCACTGAGCCTGTTAGCACATTCTGAATCTAACTAAAAGGTGTTAAGCATCAGATTCACACAGCCGAGGTATCCTGTTGTTGCCTTTGCAACATTTAGTCTCTATTATAAGCACTGCTGGATTTGTAAAGAAAAAAAATAATTTACCGGAGGCAAACAAGATGGGAGATCGAGGATTCATAGTGTTCCGGAGAACATCTGGTGAACTACGTGTACCAAAGAAGTCGTCACTATCCAAGAAAAATGACTGTCAACCAGTTGCCCTCACTTCACATCTGATGCAGAGCTGGAGAGTCCTGGCTAGTCCTGGCTCACCTCACACCACCTGATAGACATGTAGTCTGTGAGACTGGGCAGTGCTCTGTCTGACACGGGGGACTGTGCTGTGTCCATTCCTCTTCAGCTTTCAGTACAGCTTCTGCCACTCTGACCATTTTTTAGGTCTGAGGACTGCAGAGCACTAGTAGAACAATCTGTTTCTGAATGTGAATAAGACTTCAGAAGGAAGAGGATTGCTATGCAACTTTTGTCTCACTAGTAAAAATCTGCAAAAAATGTTGTTATTGATTTAAAGGAGCTCATTTAGTTCCGATTCGTCTGATCTCCTGCAGGTGTCGGGGCAGGTCCCTACGTCATGAACTGCAATGTCACAATTGACACCCAGGACGTCTCTTTGGGGCGCAGCATCGCCAAAGCCATCAGGGAGTCGACGCCGGGAGGCCTGCCTGGAGTGCAGGTGCTGGCCCTACCACACGGGGGCGCTGTGGAAATCGCTTGTAATGTGGAAAGCGTGAAGGGGACCCCGCCAGATCACCTCACCGCAGGTGAACCCTGGCCGTCTTTCAGCATCGGCGGCGAGTCGTACTGTCACGCTCCAGCTTCCCTCATCACGGCGAGGGTCGCCGAGCTGGCAGGGAGACAGGGGGTCAGCATGAAGGGCACGGCCTTGGTGGGGTTCACCCCCCGTGATTGCAGGGGCCTAGCAGAGTATGCTCTGTCTCAGGGGATTGCCGAGTTCTGGAAAGAGCAGCGCAGGATCCGCATGTGAAAACAAAAACTAAAGTCGATAATCTGTGATAGATTCCGCCTCCGTTACCATGGAAACTGACTGTTATTGAGCCCTCAGGTACCACCGGTGTTGCTTTATGTTCTACCGCTGCACAAATACAGTTTATAGCATCAATAGTTTTTCTATTTGAAGTAATGTTTGAGTCAGGAGGTCTTCACTTTCAGGGTTCTCAGATTTAGATTCATGAACCTCTGTGTTTCCCCAGAGCAGGACGAACCCCTGATATAGCAATATATCATATTCCTCTCCCTGTGATATGTCATCAATACACTAAACTTTATTAATAAAACATGAGGCATTCTGGTGCATCATCTCCTCCCAGTTTGACCTACAGAGTCACTATTTTGTGACTCCTCGCTGTGGTGCCTGTTAAATAAATGAGCAAAAAAGTCAGTCAGAAGAACTGAAAAAACAGATAAACTCACCGAGAGAAACTGAAACATTGAGTGATGACTGATCAGTTTGTGTGATTACCTTTAGACTAAAAACATCACATTTAATAAAAAGTTTAACAGTTGATGCTTTTCTTTTGGTATTTTTTTCACAAGTTCACATAGAGTGCAGTGGAGTTGGAATGACGGATGGGGTCAAAGGTGAGGGTGCTCTGAGTTCCTTGTTTGCAGAGGTGATGGACAGGTCGACGGGTAAGGTCAGGCATTAGCGTCTGTGAACTGTGACGTTGGTAGACGACAGACAAAGTTATAGAGACAAGGCTGAGAAGGTTTGGACAAAGGATGCTGAGGATGGAGCTGCCAGGCAGGAGAAGAAGACGCAAACCTCAGAGAAGATTCATGGATGTAGTGAAGGAGGGCTGTGGATGGTTGGTGGATCAGAGGAGTATGATAGGAATACTGCAGTGTTAGTAAAAAGGGAGTCACCAAAAGAAGAAGAAGACATACAGTTATGTAACTCCATAAGTAGATTTTAAATCAACCAAACAGCATGTGATTGAAGTGCAGAATGTCAACTTTAATTCAACGAGTTTGACAGGAGTGTTGAACCGTTTATGAGTTACTGCCACTTTTATACTTTTGGTGGGTTTTTTTTCTTTCAAGAGTCTGTGTAGAATAACACACCTGACCTCTGAATGCCTTCCTGCTTTGGGAGTATTTACTTCAAAGTCTCTGAACTTGCCAAAGA